ATCATATTTTTTTCAGACTTTAATCAAGACGGCAAACCAGACAATATAAGCTTCATGATTAAGAGGGTGAAAGTGCACTCCAACCCAGACCCTACCTACAAGTTCCTGGGGAATTATGGAGTGGARAAGTTTTTAGAAATATTTTCGGGTAAGTTAAAATCAACTAAATACAGACACACGCTTTGTTCATACTCGGTGAATTTTACATGCTGTTAAGTAAACATTCTTGCAGGATATAAAATGATTTTACTACTCAATTGGTATTTTTACGCTCTAAAAGGTCAACACAAAAGACCCTTTAACACCACCGGTGCCATTTTTACGTCTAAACTGATGTGATTATGTTTTTTGTTTTATGTTTTTTGTTTTATATTTTTTCTCATTTAAAATTCCATTTGTAACAGCTGCTAAAGAGTACCACACACGTTACTTAATGACTTAAGTTGAATAAAAAAAGTTCCATCTCCATGACTAACATTGTCAGGTACAAATATTATGAAATAAATAGAAACAAACTCTGATGGTAAGTTGCTGTTAATTCTCAACTAAGAAGAACATACACAGATCTTAACGGGTATAGTGGAGTAGGCGTAGGTAGGTATAGTTTGGTCTTACGTTTTTAAACATTAAAATTATAGTGTTAAAGAGATGAAATCGTTTAGGAAACGACCACACGTATATATCCATATATTCTGAGGCTTCAAGGTGAACGGGTTGTCTTGCAAATTATTTTGCAAAAAATATACCGCAGAATTCCAATAATATTGAATAAATTAAATATGTTTTACAGTTAACTAATGTTRAAGCATATTAATTGTTTAAATTATACATCCCAAGCATTAACAATATATTGTTTTGTTAAATATTTTAAGCTGCCTAGTTAGGTACTCTAAGAATACCATGAGATACATGACTTTTAAATGTAATTTATGCTCCTACAAAAAAAGTTATCTTTAGATTTCTGGAATCTTAATAACGTAATATTATTATGTACCTAATAGATATATTAGTTTAGATGATTTTTAGAATTTTAAATTCAAAGTTTTATAAATATTATTCTATACATTTGTATTGTTTGTTGTACWTGTGATGAAATAGTATATAAAGACACTTTATATTTGTCACTTAAAGCTTATTAATWAAAAAACTCTTGATAAGGGGGTAAATAAGGGGAATAGGTATATAGTACGAAAGGCCAAATCTTCAAAGTTAAAAAAAATCAATTAAACAAAAAAAACACTTAGTATAGTTTGTATACTTGGTTAAATGATAAAACTGTTTCGAGTTTCATGAAAGTTTAAAGTTAAGTGAAAAAGCAATTTTAAGTTGGTGAAACTGTATTTGCTATACCTAGTAAAATTAAATGTACAATTACTTACACCTACATAAAGCATAATATTATCTTAATATAATTATTAWAAAGACCTTGAAAATAAAAATATCTTATAATTTTTGGGCATACTGTATATATTTTACATAAATGTATATAATATATTAGCTATATTATAAACTTGAGCCGTACGGGTGGTGAATATAGATTCTGTAAATTATTATTATTATTTTTTTAATGTGATAAAAAATGAACAGATGGCGCCATGAGTGTATTTATTTTTCATCGCTCAGCTTTCCGTGAGCAAAAGTTGGGTCGATCGTATAACCTATAGGCTGTTATTTAGAAAATTATCTATACTATATACTTACTAAAGGCAGCATGTAAACCGAGT